GCCCCGTAACTACAACAGAATCGTTCCAAGCCTAGTGCCAGCCAAGACGTATGATCTTCCCCGCTGGGAGATAAGGGCGTGCAAGAGATTGTCCACTCACCTCCTCTCCGTGGGCCAAAGGCCAAAGAAATAAGAGCAGGCGCGCTCATTGCACCATCTTGCTGATAATGCTAAAAACAAAATAGTTCCCCCCCCCCCCCCCCCCCCTGAGATGCCCACTAACAGCGGTAAGTGGAAGGTATAAATAGCTTGCTATTTGAACGCTGAAGGAAGTACACCTCTGTGGCTCAGTGGCTAATGCCTCGCATTCACAATGCGAAGATCCCTCGTTCGATTTCACACGCCAGAGTATTTTTTCCAGATTATATTCTTTCTTAAATTTTATATATATAGATGCGGATACATATACGGTGAATGACATCGACACCCATGTCCACGCCGGTGGCGGCGGCGAAATCTAGCCGTGAGTGTCCATATAATTGCTCTCGCAATAAAAGAAAAAAAAAACTTTTGTTCCATCAAATAACCCAATCTTTGTTGCAGCGCTATCATGCAGATAATGAATTGGAGAACGCTGCGTATGAAACTGTTACTTTTTATACCCCTCTGTCTCTTCTCTTTTGTGTCCCTGTGTAGAATATGGTGCTTTTCGTACTTCATTATGCAAAACCAAGTAGCCCAAAGATTCACCTTACTTTTTCTACCATTATTAGAGCAAGAAAAAGTGTGCTAAATTGCTTTCAGCCACGTAGTTTTCCTGAATAAACTGATCAACTGTGCTACGTTCATTTGATTGAGAACTGAATAAAAAAAAATGCAGATGCTTCTTATTGGTTCTCATCCCCCATGAATGTGGAATTTCTTTTCTCCTCTGTCTCTCTTTTTTTTTTTTTTACTATCTAAGACCAGCATTCATGAAGCAAAGAAGGAATTTAGTGACACTACAGCAGTGTATAGTAGGTGGCTCAATCGTTGAAATAAAATTGAGAACCGTGACATAGTGGAAAAACACACAGTCACCAAGCGAAGTCATCACTTTCAATGGCAAATTACGTTTCTCTCACAGGTAATAGTAACATTCTGCGAGCTTTGTGCATCTATTTGGTAATGGGCGACATGTGTATTGCGAGTAGACTCCAGTCAAAGCATTTTAACCGCCTACAAATGCCTCGGACCGCTCACAAAAAAGTGCCGCTGTGTACATTCTTAAGTGCACCATCGGCCGCCTATTCACACCAGCGCTGTGACAGTGCTGCCTATAACCCACTTGCTACTCAATACGCATTTTGTGATGTCTGGTTGTTTCTTTGCTGTTCTAAAACACTTTATTACTCATATTAACGCCATCTGCCAGCATCAAGCCTACCTAAGGCCAGTTTGCCACGAAGTTTCAAGCACAGGCTCTGTGGTAGAATACTGGTCTGGTATGTGGGAGACCGGCTTCAAATCCCATTGTGTCCTTAGTGTTTTTAATTTACTTAGTTTTTTCTTCTTATTTTGCATAATAGTGGTTACCGACACCGTTGATGGTGGACAACTACAGCACACGCGACCCTTGTTGTGATCTCAGCCACAGCTTTCACTGTAAAAGAAAACGTGGCTGTTCCTTCTTCCTAGGAATTGGTATAACACGAAAGTGAAATGTGTCTTCATAGAGGTAGCTGAACATTCATTGCGTATTGTATTGCCACAAAAGCAAAGCAATGAATGCTACAAGATATTGCAAAGCCATTCATAGAACGGCACGCAGCTTGAACTTGCAGCATACACCTCGACCAAAAAGCATGCACGAAATGGGCTTATTCAGGATAAGCATGGGAAAAACAACCATCTCAGCTGGACACTTGAAGTGTGCTATTCAAACAGAGAGATTCACGAAACCAATGCACGAGTATACACAGGACAAGCACAAACAACTGTCACAATTCTTTCTTCGTGTATGAGCAGTGTGCGCTTTTCGTGAATGTGGGAGCGAGCAAAGCAACCTTTGGGCTCTCCTGAGTCACGAGTCTGATAAGCGTGCTCGTTGGAGAGACCATGCTCTGTGGAGGCGGCGCTCATCGAAACGTTAGAGGTGATGACCTCTAGAGAAGCGCAAACAACATGAGCTCGTCGTGTCATCTCGCTAATGATGACGAAAACGCGCTGAAGTTGTGGAGCTCTTGGGGACCACCAAATTGTACATGGTATATATAAATATATATACTATGTACCGTCAGCAATCTCGAGAATGTACGTTCCGTGGCCTAGTGGTTAGCGCTGATTGATTGATTGGTAGGTGGGGCTTAACATCCCCAAACCACCATATGATTATGAGAGACGCCATTGTGGAGGGCTCCGGAAATTTCGACCACTTGGGGTTCTTTAATGTGCGCCCAAATCTGAGCACATGGGCCTACAACATTTCGGCTTCCATCGGAAATACAGCCTTCGCAGCTGGGATTCGATCCCGCGATCTGCGGGTCAGCAGCCGAGTACCTTAGCCTCTGGACCATCACGGCGGGGCAGAGTGGTTAGCGTTGTGAACCGAGAATTTGTTGGTTCGATGCCTTGCGACAGAACCTTTCTACCTCATTTTTTTTTCTTTTCAGTATGTTAGTACATATTTTACGTCGTATCCATGGCAAAAAATGCGTCAGCAGAGCCATTGTGGACCTTGGCCTATAACACTTTCGTGTTAAAAAAGAGCCTAGAAAAGGTCACTGAATGAAATGGTTGAATTTGTAAAGACACGAAATGTGCCAAATGAAGAATTTCGGTGCATTGGGCGATGTAGAACACTTTCAGATCGGTTAGTCCTGGTCCTCTTGGATACTCACAGAAATGTCCTTCTTGTGATCACTACTTCTTCCATGAAAATCGATCTGTGCATGAAGTTTCATCTGAAGCACGGCAAGACCGACAATTCCTCAGATATCTTTCAGCAGGAGTGGTCTTTTACTGATATGTACACTATGTGGGACACCACCAACTTTGCATGCCATTCGGAGCATTCGCGTGCTCAAGCGCAACACGCTATTCATCTAGCCCTCAGAGGCAGTTGCAACACCTGACACCCCCCCCCCCTCCCGTTCCCCCCCTCACACTGTTTTCAAAGTGTGCAGCAGGCCATACATACTGTGTGTGTTTTCATCCAAGGGCTTTGCCACTAACTACAGGGTCAGTAAGGCAATTCAGGGTCACCTCAATGTGCACTGTAGCAGTTGTGGGCTGGTTTATGGGGTTTAATATCCCTAAGTTATTTGAGCTATGAGAGGCTAGGCTAAATTGTGTAAACTTAGCGGAGACTAATTTTGATCACCTCGGTGCTAGCACTAAAATTAGTGTACATGGGCATCTAGCATTAAACCTACACAGCGTTGAAGGTTATTGTAACGTAAGCGCATTTAAGGGTTGCATGCGATACTAATATTCCCTTCCTAGTGTATATTTCAAACACTCGGTGCATGAAACCTTTTTCAAACTTGCTATGCACTCACTACGTAGCCTTAAAGTAGTAAGTGAGTGGCTTTAAATCATGTCACTATGATAACCACATGCCCTGACACCCGATGGCAATGTACGCTTATATAATCCATTCTTGCTGTAATATTTAATGCTGTATTGTGAAGCATTTATACAGGATGCGTGTGTTTTTAAAGCATGAAAGTTAATTGCACTGCATTTTCAAGCAGAGAAAGTTATCTTCATTGTATGTAAAAGAAGACACGTGGCTGTGTGGTAGAACACCCGCTTGTCACGCAAACTACCCAAGTTAAATCCCCACTTCGACTCAGAATTCTTTATTATTTATTTTATTTTCATATTTCTCAAATTTTCAGCTGTGCACAAAATGACGATTTTTTGTTCTCAACCAATGACACCGGCTGTTCCGCGAAACGAGCTTTTTAACACTACTGCATTGAAAAAGACCACGACATACACTTAGAGCAGACAGGCACAAACTTCATTTTTTAAGCGTTAAATTTTATCTTGGGACGAGCGCACACTTATGCAGGCAGCCATCATCATGTGCCAGTCAGAATTGTCCACTGACAAGCAGTTAGGAGGTGATCTTCCTAAATAAGGTGTGAATAGCTCTAGAATAGCCCCGTCGCGGTAGTCTAGTGGCTAAGGTACTCCGCTGCTGACCTGCAGGTCGCGTGATCGAATCCCGGCTGTGGCAGCTGCATTTTCCATGGAGGCGAAAATGCTGTAAGCCCGTGTGCTCAGATTTGGGCGCACATTAAAGAACCCCATGTGGTCAAAATTTCCGGAGCTCTCCTCTAGAGCGTCTCTCATAATCATATGGTGATATTGGGACGTTAAACCCCACATACCAATCAATAGCTATAGAAGAATTTGTTCACTGGTGGGATGTTGTCTTTGTCAGCCATTTAGTGTAAATGGCTGTGTACGTGCAAAATGAACATTTTGTTGAAACTCAGTAATGTGCCTGCTTTGTGTGGTTCTTTTTGTTCGTATCAATTCTGTGTGGTTCTTTTTGTTCGTATCAATTCTCACAATGTTTTCCTCCTCATGTTCAACCATCTAGCCTACTGTGCTGAACTTGATATTTCACCAAAGTAACACCGACAACTTCAAATAGAGCTGACGGACATAACACATAAATATTGACTAAGGGAGAACAACCAACATTCAATAAATGTCATGAACCAGGAACTGTAATCTACATTTTCATTGCTTGTGCAGTTGTTAAAACGTATGTGCATGCAAAAATTTCTGTATATGTTACACATAACCCAATGCTAACTTTAGAACATGATGCACTGGTACTTAACATGGTGAGTCTCTTGACAAAAGTGATTTATTTTACTTAACTGAAGCGTTTACTGCACATACTCACAAAGTTTGATTGTCCGTAGCCTTTAGTTGACTTTGTGCCACTAAATTCAACTTTGGTAACTTGTTTCTTGTGATGGCTACAAGTCTTTTCATTGTGGAAATGAGCATATCTAAATTATGTGTAGTCATGGTTTAAGCCATAACTGTTTTTTCAGGCTGACTTCCCTCAACGTGGCATATGCCACCCTAGACACACCCGAGAAGCGGGCCGCCTTTCTTGTAGTGCCGATGCGAGAGGAAGTGCAGATTCAGCCCTTGGAAGAGCTGCCCACTCTGGTAGCCGACTGTCGACCATTCTACTTGGCCTTCTCGGACCCGTCGACGTCGCCTATTCACCCGGGCTGGCCACTCAGAAACCTTCTGGCACTGGTCGTCCACCACTACTCACTGTCTCGGTGCAGCGTGCTGTGCTACCGGCGGCAGGCTCGCCACGGTCACGTAGACAGCAGCCACAGCCTCATCCTCGATGTCCAGCTATGTGCCAGCGTCATTGCCGAGGGCGTCAACTCACCCGTGTACGTCGGTTGGGAACGCAATGCGGCGGGCAAGCTGGGGCCTAGGAGTGTGGACTTGAGTGCGAGCTTTGACCCAGCCAGACTGATGGAGAATGCGCTCGAGCTCAACCTGCAGCTGATGAGGTGGCGGTTGGCACCGACGCTCGACTTGGAGGCAGTGGCATCAGCAAAGTAAGGGGGTTTCGTCTCTTGCTGAAAAGAACATGTGGACATGTTAGTTATTACAATACTAGACAACAGGGCTTTTAGGAGCTGTTGGCAGCACTAATATTATAAGCTTATGAGCTCAGACTACGCCTAAATAAATTTCGGTTAACTGAATGCCATACTTACACAGAGTCAACATTTTATGGTGGCTGTGTCTTGAGCAGTGTTTTGAAACACTTCCGACCATGCAGGTGCCTTCTGCTGGGTGCTGGCACACTAGGTTGCAGCGTAGCCCGGTGCCTGATTAGTTGGGGTGTACGTTACATCACCTTCGTGGACAACGGTGTCGTGTCGTACTCGAACCCAGCACGCCAGTCGCTGTACACAGCACGAGACTGCTGGGATGGGGGTCGACCAAAATGTGACGCTGCCGCCGAGGCTCTGAGCGCCGTGTCACCAGCAGTGCATGCTCGGGGTGAAAACCTGAGGGTGCCCATGGCCGGCCACAGCGTACCCGCACACGCCGAAGAACACGTCCAGGCCGACGTCCAGAGATTGGAGGCGCTGGTCGCCGAACATGATGCCGTCTTCCTGCTTCTCGACACCCGCGAGGCCCGATGGCTGCCGACCGTGGTCGCGGCAACGCAGCGCAAGATCGTAATCAACGCAGCACTGGGCTTTGACACTTTTCTCGTGATGCGCCACGGCATCGCGGGAGACAATGGCGAGAAGCTAGGCTGCTACTTCTGTAGCGATGTCGTTGGGCCGGCCGACTCTACACGTGACCGCACCCTGGACCAGCAGTGCACGGTTACGAGACCCGGTGTCGGTGCCATGGCCGGTGCCTTGGCAGCTGAGCTCCTGGTGGGCCTGCTGCAGAGCCCCTTAAAAGGACGGTGCCCCACGTCGGATGACGCGGAGGCCTCCGGCGAGAACCCGCTCGGACTGGTCCCGCATCAGATTCGAGGCTTCCTTGCCCGGCACGTGTACATGATGCCCACGTATGCTGCCTTCCCCATGTGCACGGCTTGCTCCCAGCCGGTACTCGACGAGTATGCTCATCGGGGCTGGGAGTTCGTACTGCAGGTGCTCAACGACGCTGCCTACCTAGAGCGCCTGACGGGACTTAGTCGGCTGCATGAGGAGACCGACGTCGACCAAGTCTGGGCGCTGAGTGACAGCGAGGAGAGTGCATCGTCGGGAAGCTGAGCGTGTACATACCACCACCACTGCTAAGACAAGTGGCAGGAGAGCAATAGAACATTTATGGCTGACGTAACCTTATGATTCGCAACGACATGAAGTAATGTTTTTTTTTTCACCGTGACAATTGTACTCAAGTTTGAAATCCTGCTGATATTGTTGCAAACTGTTGTGAGACAGTAACTGAGCATCATACGTTTGTTCATATGTTCTGTGGCATTTGTTCATATGTTCTTTTGGCATCACATTGATCATCTGTAATATTCTGTCCATTGCATTGTACATTATGCCTGTAGTATGCACTTGCTTGATGACTATTTATAATTACTCTTGAGTGTCGATGGAATTGTCTACAGTTGTGATAAGCAGATATATATTTATTTGAGAATGTGCCCTTTATGCAAGTGATGCAACTGCAGGACAGTTGAATAAAAGAAGCTGGCTGCTTGTTTGAGAGGAATTGCGTGTGGAAGCACATGCCATGTACCATGCGACATGAATGCATTTCTTTTTATACTTCGTGATGAGCTGACTGTTTCACATATCGTCTCATTTCACGTTTTGAAGTAGTCATTCTGGAGGAGGCAGCCTTGATGACTTTTTTCGATGTGTTTTCGAAAGTCACATAATTCTATGAGAAAGCTTAGTACTATTTCTTCTAACTATGATGTGCCACAGAATTGTTCAAACGGAATCGGCAGTCAAGGAAAGCATGTGTATTGCGGTAAGCCGTGTAACCTTCTCTAACGTACTTTACGACAAAACTGGAAAAGAAGTAATCAATTTAAGAGTTTGCGCAGAACTTCTTGCAGGGAGGTGCATCCATGAGGGGGGTGCATCCATGACCTTCAAGATTAGTCAATAACATGGAATAATGTGCAGAGTTGGCCACTAATCCTGAAGGCTATTTCACACAAATATGCTGGCATTGAGTGTGCTAATCAATGTACATGCGTAGCTTATTGCTACTGCTATACAAATATCTCAAATTCCATGGGGGGGGAGGGCAGCCACCATTTCTTGCACCCCCCTCCGGACTCCAATGAATCAATTAACGAAGGTACTCCTGAGAGGAGTGCCAACGAGATTTCATAACATTGCAAAACAGACATTTTGGTTCTCTTTGCTAGCAGTCCTAATGCTCTTCAGACTGGAACACTTAAAAAACATTTATTCTTGAAGGGACACTTTTATTAAGCATTTGATTCATTTTAGATTGATAAGTTATACTGTTGGAACTTTGATGTCAATAATTTCACGGTCATTGGTTTAGTAATAAGAAAGCATAAAACCAAACTTGCACTTTTATTTCCAAATATGTACTGCAATATCAGGAAGTGAAGTCATGAATTCCAAAGTGTATTTTAGGAACATTGGCTCAACAAAAACTCCTGATGGTTATTTTGAGTATATTGCTCCCTGTGGCGACAATGTGCTATGTTGTTACTGTTTAGGGACTACATAGGCCTTGGTAGATACTGTCAAAGTTCTTTATTCTTTATTCAAAAGTTACCCCGCATTGCCCAAAGGCGTTACAGCAGGGGGGTTACAGAAACGACCTAAACAATTCTTCATTCTTACAGCACACTTGCATGGCAGACAATTCATTCCACTCTTTAACAGTTCTAACAAAAAATGAATTCGCGGACAGGGGGTTACAGAAACGACATAAACAATTCTTCGTTCTTACAGCACACTTGCATGGCAGACAATCCATTCCACTCTTTAACAGTTCTAACAAAAAATGAATTCGCGGACAGGTTCGTTCGGGTGTGTAATTCTCTTAATTTAAAAACATGGTCAGTTCTAGATGAACGGTAATGAGGTTCCTTTAAAGTATTCTTCTTTATTAATTTTTGTTTTATCATTATATATCTGAAAAAAGAACTTCAGTCGCAGCTTTTGCCGACGCGAGGAAAGCAGTTGCCACCCAAGCTCATTTTTCATCTGAGTACAGCTCTCCCCTCTCTTGTACCGTCCCAAGACGAACCTGGCCGCCCGGTTTAGAATTTTTTCAATTTTATTTATTTATTTATTTATTTATTTATGGTACCCTCAGGGCCCGAAGGCATTACAGAGGGGAGTGGCAATACAAAATAATACAGCAAACGGCAAAACGTAAAGGAAAAGAAGGGAAAATACAAAGCGATTGGCAAAAACACACAGTAACAAAGAATTAAATGTAGTAGCGGTAATACATTACAACGATTTTGTTTAAAAAAAAAAAAAACGGCAAAACGTAAAGGAAAAGAAGGGAAAATACAAAGCGGTTGGCAAAAATCAATCAATGTGGCTTGTGAAGGATCCCATACGGCACAAGCGTATTCCAGTATAGGTCGTATGCATGTTAAATAAGCTGTCTTTTTTAAGTTCAGTTCCGAAGTCTTTAAATTACGTTGGATAAAGTTTAGCGCCTTTTCAGCTTTACAAACCACATCATCTGCATGTGCATTCCACGAGCAGTCGGATGACAAGACTATCCCTAGGTATTTATAACTATCTGCTCTTTTTAGACGTTCATTGTTTAAAGTATACTCTGTTTCCATAGGTTTCCGCTTCTTTGTAAAAGAGACATGGCCACACTTTTTTTATTTAGGTTTATTTTCCACGTAGAGCACCAATCTTGAACACGTTCCAAATCGGTTTGCAGTTGAGTAAAATCTCTGTCATTCTTTACTTGTCTATACACAACACAATCGTCTGCAAACAATCTAATATGTGATGAAATACCTGCTGAAATATCATTTATGTAAATTAAAGATAAAAGTGGCCCTAAAACTGAACCCTGTGGAACTCCCGATGTCACATCAACATAATCGGAGCTTTTGCCGTTTAACCCTTTGCGGTCCCAAACTTTTACCCACTTTCCGGTCGTTCCGGTCCGAAACTATTTCGCTAGTTTGAGGCACCACGAAAGAAAACGACAACTGTGGGAAATTAACTTGGCGGTTTATTTTGTCAGTTCCTCCTTGTCCCCAAGTTATTTAGCGATACTTGGGCAGTGTGTGGAAGCGTTCAAAGCACTCTCCTGGGTGCAGTCCATGATTATTTCTGCAGGTTTTGCAGAAGAACACTGTTTCCCTCCTGCCCCTTTTGTTTTCCGGTCACTGCAAACAGCGCAGTCCTTGCTGCTTCGGCCAGGGAGCTTGTAGATGAAATGGGGCTTTCCATCCAGCCTTTGTTCGCAATACAATCTTGCAGATGGGCCCCACTTCCCAGCGCGAGCCCTTACGTCACCAACCAGCTGCTCTATCAGGTTCCTCCGGTACTGGAGGTGTCGCTGCTCTTTCTCTCCCTGCTTCAGGAGCTGCTGTCTCATCAAAATGGAGCTGTTCACTATCAAAACTTACAGAAGCCAAAAAAAAAGCTTCCTCCACCATTTCATTGACTTCCGGGAAAATGCATAACTTGCACAGTAATGATCGGCCCGGTCCACTGCACCCATGTTTTCAGTGTAGTCGCATATCACCACAGGCTTCTTCAGTGTCAGTGTTTTTCCTCCAGCTATCTTCCTTGGCACTTCTTTCGTAGGCGCATTGTGGGCTGAGCTTAGCATTGTCACTTGACGCTTATCCCGCCAGGCAAGTGCCATGTACGAGTTTCCTCTGCGATAAGCCGTCACTTCACCTTTTTTCATCTTTTTTTTTGAGCTGCTGCCGCATTTGTTTTTGATTTATCATCACAGTCCCAGTTAGCAAAATAATGTGCGAAAGTAACTCTTCCGCAAGCATTGGGGACGTATAAAATCTGTCCGTATACAGATGATAGCCACTGCCCGGTGTAGCTTGCTCCACTTTCTCCAGCAGGTGGAGCACAATCCTGCATGTGAAGGGAAGCTCGGGACGGCAGAGGCTATCAGTTGTGCTGCTGTAGTATGGTTCAAAGGCCGAAATGTAGCCTGTTTGGCAGTCAGCCAGCGCATAAACGCGCATGCCCCATTTTGTTGGCTTCTGGGGATTGTAGCACTTGAATGAGACTCGGCCTTTGAAGCCGACAGTACTTTCATCTACGCAAATTTTGGGGCCGGCGTTGAAATGCTCTCTGCATTTAGCATCTATGTAGGTCACAACATCCCTGATCTTGCTTCCACGAGTTGGTGGACCTGAAGAGGTATGTGGGCTTGGTGCAGCAACGTGCAGCATCCAAAATATTTGAAGAAACTTTTTTCGTTTGAAAACGTGTGGGAAAAAAGGCATCTTCTTTAGGAGGTCGTTGCTAAAGTATTCCTTCAACTCCGGTTTGGGGTTCAAGGCCATGTTCACTATAACCCCTAGGAAGGCTTTGAATTCTTCCACGCGCACATCTTCCCAGTCATTCCAAATCGAGTACTGCTGAAGAACATCGGCACTCGAGATTTTATCACGGGCGTAGCGGTTTGTTTCGCACACTATTTGCTCAATCAGCTGGTCGGTGAACAACAACTGAAAGTAGTCCAACTCGCACTTTTCATTGGAAGAGCTTACTTGAGATCCCGGGTTCGGGACAGTAAAGGAAGAGGGTCAAAATCTGGTAAATTATCCTAATAGGCTGTCCAGCCGGTTCCACGTGGTCCTGTGTTGTTCTGGTTGTATCCACAGTCTCTACCGTCCTCGTTTTCTTTCTCGCTGGCTTCTGTAGAATCACTTTCTTCGGTATCCAATGGAGCCACATAGTTGTCTTCGTCACTAAAATCGTCTTCGCTTTCGCTAAAAGCTTCAGAATTGCCACCGTAGAAGGCACTCGGTGAAAAGGCGGCCATTTCGCTGCAAGCGGCGCGGAATCTGAGCTCTGAGCTGCGCGCCACTCGAACAATCGAAGAGTTGATGATGATGATGATCTCTGTGGTCTCCCCTTTATACCGGGGGGGGCACCTTTTAGTGTCCTGACCGGAACGAGAAACAAAAATAATAAAAAAAGCGAAAAAAAGGAAAGAAAAATCACACCAGGTCCATGAACATCACAATTGTTCACTGTCTCCTTGACCACTACTGTAGAAGCCTTGCTTTGGTTATTGCTGTCGCTTGCCAGGGGGTGCACGTTGGTATCGCGGCTGTCGCCTCCCGGTGCGCCGCAGTCTTTCACAAAGCCGAGTGCCTCCGGTAGTGTGGCGTCATCTGTCTGACGGGGACACAGGCGTTCGCAGTGAAGCACCATGTGTTCAATGTTCTCCTCGTCTTTTCCGCATGTCCTGCACTGCACAGTGCCGTCGACAAACGACGGGTCGAAGTGACGGCGATACACCTGAGTACGGAGCGCTCCAGCACAGGCCTCCAACAGAAGCGCACTGCCGACAGTATTGTCGTATAATCGTTCGGCGGAGATGGTGGTCTTGTGAGCTCTGTATAGGGTCAGGCTGGGTTTCTTCTCCACAGCCGCCTGCCACATCGACGTCTCAGCTTCCTGCACTCTATTCCGTACTCCTACTGCCCATTTCCTCTCACTGTCCTCCTGGACAGGGTCAGTAAAAAGGGAGTACTTGCGGCACAGATTGTGGAGACGCCTGCGCCATGGTGTG